GGAGAGCTTGAAAGCAGCCTGTCTACTGCAAGACAGTCTGGTTGCTTCATGTGGCAAGCGGCAGCGCTGGAAGGCATTGGAATGCTTTCCTATGACTGGGAAGAGCTGGGATCCTACAGCCCATTGATTTTCTATCCTAAACTGTGTATCGCAGCCAGTTCAGCATGACTTTTTTTATTAAGAGTAGTAAAGGTCAGGCGAAAGCCTGTAAGACTCGCGCCGTGCATCTTCCTCCAAGATAAAAAGGCTCAATTGGCACCTGAAATTAGTTACAGATTGTTCTCACCGGTCTTTTCCTTTATTTGAATGGCAACGAAGAGAGCTGCTGCCGGTACAAGTAAGGCTGCTGACTCCCCTCGGGCTTTCATTGAATAAACCAGCTTTACCGAAAAAGGAGCACCGAGCATACGCTCAGCTCCTAAGACCAGCTCTTTGCAACAGATGAATGCTAATGCCAGCGGGAAAAAACGCACTGCACTGCACTGCACGGACAGAGAGAACCCTGAAACCAAAGTAAATACTTCACCAAGTCAAGCCTCAAAGTGGGTAACACCTCTAATAGGAAAATGGCATTTTCTATTAAAATACATTTTCCAGCCGCACACAGTGTGTTTATTCTGCATAAAATAGTTATCATCAGAGGACCAAAAAAACCCCAAACCAAATAAAACAATAGCTAAAGAAACCTGAGAGGACTTCAACTAAATATTAAACAAATTAAACAGGTTTTAAGCCCAAGTTCTTCACTGTCACACTCCGAACGATCTCCAAGTCCCAGATCAGCGCCGAGGGGCAGCAGAGAAACCAGCTGAAGCACGTTGAGCGAAGGCGGGTAGAAGGCAACACGAATTAGCTGACGGCCCTGCACAACGTGCTTCCACATCATATTTTGTTTAATAGGGCAGCTTTCGGGCAGGGGTCAAAGCCCCAATACCACCACGTCCTGCCAAGCTCTGACACTGCCCCGAAACAAAGGGTCCACAGGAGAGGCAGTTCCCAAAACCTGCTGGTGAGGGCTCTGGGGACCTCCTCTTTGTTTTAGGAATTCAGAAGAATAGCAATTTATGTAGGACCTACGCAAAAACAAAGCTCGAGGCTCCCCCTGCTGGCTCCCAAACCTTGAAGGGGACAGTAACCAGGGAGGTTTTGGCTCCGGGGAGGACAGACGCAGCCTCCTGCCAGCTTCCCGCACGGCCCCTAAGGACAGAAAACCCTCTTAGGTGTTTAAGCAGGAGGGATCTACCCCATACGGGACTCAACATTTAAATTAAAACACCCTGTAACATTTAAAATACATTCTATTTTATGTTGCTATACTCAATCACTCCCTGAAGCGTTCTCCCAAGCCTTTCTCAACAGTACCCACCTCACCACCACCTTCTTGTCTCCATAAAGATTCAGTTTTCCCGTTACCCTCTCACAGGAACACACTGGCAATGTTATGACACCTGCAGCTTTCTCCACGTGCTGAGGCCCACCAAACAGCCACAGAACCTAGGGACACATCCCAAACCAGTCATCTGTACAATTTTATTTGCCACTTGCAGTTACAAATCGTTCCATACAAGTAAAGCAGTTTCCAAATACCAGAGCTACAAAAATTACTCTCCTCTACACGTGGCACCAGCCTCAGAATTTATTTCTGTACGCAGCTGCTGATCGTGTTTAACAAAATTTCACTATTTTTTTTGGCTCTGAGGATCTCCACAAAGGCAACTTGATCACTTCATCCCATCGCAATCAAAGTGAAAAGTTCTTGTTCCTCCTTTCCTTCCCTCTCCTTTCATCTGAAGCTCTTCAGGGCTTTCAGGTCTGGAATCCAAACGAACGACGAACGCTACCGCACACCGGCAGTTTCAGCAACCAAGGGGAAAAAAGCCCCATCTTGTGGCATTTCAAGCAACATCTCACTTCAGATGCCTCTGCTCGTACGCATAAACGCTGAAACATTACCGGGTAATAAGGCTACATAAAAGCACAAACAATGTTATTTAACACAAAATTATTTAAATTAAAGACGTACAGTCAACTGACAGGCAACACCAACAGGGTAGGAGCCAGGAGCCAGAGTTGGTCAGAGGAGGGCAAACGTTTTCAGGGAGCCCAAGTGGAGGAAGGATACGGAACTCAAATATTGCTCCAACAGGAACTTCCAGTTTTAAGCTTTTCCAAAAGACTTGAGAAAAATATATACGTTAAAAATGTCACTGTTAAAACTTTCTGAATGCCAGCTCTCCTACGCAAGTGCTTCTAAAGAGACAAAAAACCGTTTCCCCCAGGAGATATATACACAGAAACAACCAGCACACAATCCCGGCCCCGTTCAAAGATGCAGCAATTCCCAGGGTGAAGTCAGCAGGGAAAGAAATCCGTTGTTTCAAACACACTTCTTCCCCCCAGTCAGTGAAGTTGCCCACCCCTTTGCATCACAGTCCCGTGGAGGCAACGTTCATTATCTCAACCTAGCCTTTATGTTTAATTGCTAACCCCTTTAAAAAACAATAACAAAAACTACTCTGGTACTGGAGCGAGCAAGCCTGGGTTAGGATAAAAACGAGGGAGCTTTAAAAAACAATAACAAAAACTACCCTGAGCAAGCCTGGGCTAGGATCAAAACGAGGGAACAGGCTGCGTGCAGCCAGGAAGATAATGAATCTTATTTAACATTTGCCTTGCAGCAACCTAGGCAGTCTCATCTCCCTCGGATTTTAAATCCCTCCAAAGCCCCAGGGCTCACGGCAAGGCAACACACTCAGAAATCAAACACAGGGGACCTCAGAACTGCTGTCTAGCCCCTCAAACAGTTTAAGAATGGCCAGGAACAGTCTAGAAGCAGCATAACCCTCAACATTAAAGTAAGCCAGACAAGCTAGCTGAAGTTGTCTGACACCAAACACTGAAAGCCTCAGCAGTTCGTGGTACAGCTCCATCAACTGCAAAATAAACTCGGATGTGGATTTATGACACAAGAGGAACCCTCCAACCCCACCATGAGATATGAAGTAACTGAATATGAAACAAATGCAGCGAGTTCAGCAAGGCAAAGGCACACACAAGCAGTCACCTCAGCTGTGGGTAGCCCCGGGTGCACAGTCACCACTACTGGTTTGTTCGACTGTTCTGAAGGAGCCAGGGAGAAACACAGGAGTACATCGACGTTTTATTAATAATTTGAAAGGAATGTGCGAAAAAAGCATGCGAGTGCATGGTTTTACACACCTTCCAATTTCTCCTGTTTACAGGAGCATCGTTCAGGATGCTTAAAAGAGCTTTCTTTCCATCGAAAATAAACGTAAACAGGTGAAAAGACCACATTTTAAACAACTCGTTCTGGTTTAGGCTGCCAGTGTGAGACTCATGATTCCACAACATTTTAGGTTGTTTTGTCTGCATTTTCCATGTCTTGGTTTCGCCCCGATTACTTTAGCGTGTAACATCCTGACAAACCTTCAAGAGATTGGAATAGCACATGCAACATATACCTTGAAACCGCTCTGAAATCTTTCATCATTTGGCATGTTTTCACTGAAAAAAAGTCCTGCTTGACTACAAAAGCTACGTATTTTTTATTTCTTAAATATCTCTCCAGCAAGGGAAAACCCACATGATCCTGAGCACCAGCAAATTAAGAACTGATTTTAAGCCTAGGGCGTCATGCCTTGCCTCACCCCTCCAAAGATAAACCAAACCAAGCATAAGGCTGCAGGATTTTAACATCGCTGTTTAGCACAACATGTCATAGGCAGCCTCAGCTGCCCATTTCTACCCCCTTTTCCTTACTTCACAACCACAGCCAGGGTATGAAGCTACTGAAAACAGCCAGATTTTATCTCCCTGTGTGGAAATAAAGGTTTAAAGGGATCACTAAAACTACCTTCTCCCTATGACTGCAGTATTACAAACCACGTTATTTTATCTGCAGAGAGCAGTATTACACCTTAAAAGATAAAGTAGCTTAAAGATGCCAGTGCCAGGTAACTGATGCGCACACCCAGCAGCTCCTGAGACTCAGCTGGCCTCTGCTGTTGGCTACTACTCACCTGTTGTGAGGGCAGAGGAGGAAGAGCTGACCTGAGGGAGCGTCCCGGCTGGAGAAGACATGGCCGGGACCTTGACTCATGAAGGAGCGTGAAGATCTCAGCCTGAGAAAGGGCACTTCTGTATTTCCCATATATGGCAGAACACTGAAGCGTGGAACACGATCGCAAGATTTGCCCTCACGTATAAAAAAGTGACTAGATTAAAAGCAAAGCCAGGGTAAGAAGGAATGGAGAAAAGCAGATTTCAGTTACTTGGTGTAAGGCTTCTCAGCCTGGACCTAAAACCAATGGATAGCATGAGCTCCCTGTTAACAGGAACTAGGTGTTAACGGAGGCGACTGGCATGACTGGCTGCACCCCAGGCTACTGAGGAGGAAAGAAAACAGAGAAGCTGGAGCACTCGCCATTGAACAGCACGGGAGCTGCAACACTCGACAGAGCTGACAGAGAGCTGAAAAATAGCTTTTATTCCTCCTGTACTAAAGTGGTGACACCGTACAAGTTCCCCATTATGTGAAAACAGCGGTTGGTAACTCATTTTTTAACTGAGCGACTAATCTCAGTGCAATTACCCCAGTTTTAAAAGACTAAAAAACCTAGACTGAAGTCCACTTATTTTGTTTGAACGAGCCTATTTTCCATGAAGTCCACGCTGTCCACCTCTGCGTGTTCCAGGAGTTTGGCCGTGTAAGAAAGTTATCTACAACAATCGTCTGAACTGCATACATCAGTTCTCCAACCATAAACAGTTCTCCTAATTTAAAAAAATCACTTCATAATTTAAAATATATCACTGACACTCTGCTTTACTTGTAGCTAGAATGTACCAACATTACCAGCTGAGAGAGCATCAACTTGATTTTATGAAAAACACTTGCGAAAAATATATCGACTTCAAAATGTACAGAAAAGGACATTAGAGAGCTGATATTTTTGGGTTACATAATGTATTTAGAAAGAGCAGCAAGCTAGGAGTGAAGTACCCTATATTACAAATATCCAAACACCCAAGCCATACTGTATAGGCCTTTCTAGTGTAGTGAAGGGGTAGTTACAGAAAGGGTACTGTGAAAGCATGTACAAAGAACTGCAGCTTTGTTTAACTTAAACTTGATCACGTAGGCGGGCCAGTCTCTGTGACAGCTCGTCCTGCAGAATCGGAAAACACACAGAAAACAGCTATCAGCAATAAGAAAATTAATTTTCCGAATTTCTGCAACAGCCAAGCACTCTCACGTCCAGAAAATATGAAATTCTCTCACGTACAAGTGTTAACAAGATTTGCTTAAGACCACCAGGACGGCTGTACCAGGTGAGACCAGAGGTCCGTACAGCTACCTGCCCTCCAGCAGTGGATACCCAGGAAGGAATTTAGTACACAGAAAGCAGAGATGGGGTTGGCTTGTTTTGGGTTGTTTTTTTTCTTATATATCATCTTAGCAAGTGCACATCAGCTCCTACCGAACTGCATCCTTGACCGAGCAAGGCTGCTATCTGACTGAACTAGTACAGCAAGACAGCAGCAGGTCTGTGTTTTAGAGGGCCTGGTACAAGGGGAAACTGAACTTTTCAAAGAATGTGGAATACCTGGGGCTTCCAAACATTGTTCAGCTAAGATGAGGCTCCCTAAAGCTTGCTTCACAAAGATAGGATGACAGACAAACTGTTCTCTTTCCACTCCCTCAAATATATTCCCCTAGAATGGGAAAAGCAACTTGCCAAATAATCTGTGCAACCTTGACATCAGGATCTGCCCATGCCCAAGAAATTCTAAGCTGCCCGTCTAGAGCAAACAGGGAATCCTTCACACCAGTCCTGTAAGACCTTCCACACATGAAAGGGAAAAAAGGCCTGCTGTATGCTAGGGGAGATGGCTGGATTCATTACATCTGGAGTAGGTAGGAGAGTCAACTGCTTGGAACACTATGAAACAAACACATCCGAAACACTGAAGCTTCCTGGATGTACTAAGCAGACAAATGTATTGTTAAAAATATTTTGATGACAAGACTCTTAACTACACACTCTCTCTTTTGGACAGCTAAAATCTAATTACAATTTAGCAAGCCTGTTTTGACTGAGTGGAAGCATTAATTCTCATATCACATTTCTCTAGAACCACCGATTTCAACTGAATCGGTTTTACCTGTTCTGCTGAGGCAACGCTTGTACCAACAGAACCCGTCTGTCCTTGAGGTAGTTCCATGTTCAGATCAAGACTAATAGGAGAAAATGAAAGAGAAAACAGTCAGGCATACCTGGTTTAAGGAAAAAGCACAATAACTGACAAGCCGAGCAAATAAAAAAAAAAAATACCCCAAATATGTCACGATGCCCTGTTCGCAGTGTCTAGCTCGTGAGAGCAGAACTACAGCAAGTTTTAATGCGGGCAGAGGGGAGAAAAGAGGGAAAGTGTGGAGAAACACCGCAAGGACTGCTAAGGCCAAAGCCAACCCAAGTAAATAATAAATGCTATCCTGACATGACAAGCAACACGTTTTTAGGCTCCTGTACACCCACATCCACCCCAGCACCCTGACAGTCACAGCAGCTTTGAGTGCAAACACTGGCAACTAAACTATTAGGAGAATTATACTCAGAGGTGAAAGGAAAATGGTGATACTTCTCTGCTTCCAAGAGAAACACCTACAGAACAAGGGCATCTGGCCTAAGGTTAACCAGGAAGGGCTGCTGGAACCAAGGTTTAGTCTAGAAACAGTCACTCAAAATTTTACCTACCCTGCTTCATCTGCCATTTCCTGTAGAAGCATATCCACTTGGTTCTAGGGTAAAGAAAACAAAACTGATGGCTGCGTGTTGCAGTTTATACAAACTCTTCTGTCAGAACTTGAGAGAACAGAAATTATTTTAAACCAAACCGATTTAAATGTCTTTCACAGAACATTATTGCGCTTAGCCACCAGAGGGCCCTGTACGAACTCAAAAATGCTGAGCAGAGGCCCATTCGCTGAACCTAAGCTTCTGAGGTAACGCCGCAGAAGAATCCAACTTTGCTGGAAAAAACCCAAACGTACACTCGAGTATTTGAAGTGTTATCCACTGCTGATTACTAGCTACTGAAAAACTGCTTCGCACAACATGGAAAAAAAGCCCATCTCCAATAGATTTGGGTCGTTGGATTTGGATTTAGGTTTATTTTATTTACAAAGCACTATCTTCAGTAAATTTCTCCCTGAGAAAACTTTCGTTGGGATAGCCCACTTAACTCTCTCTGAAACAGCACAAGGTTCTAGGAATTCTTAACTATGTAAAGCACTGTTTAAGAATTTATTTTAGTAAACATATGTCCATACACTGAAAGTAGGTAATTACCACCTCTCCGCTGCACATACTACTGCTGATTTGCTGGTGACTAATGTAATTTCGTTAGTATCAGTGAGTTAGAACCACTGTTATGCTGTGATAATTAATGCTGCAGTATCTTCTGGTTCAAAAGTTCATTAAGAACTCATCAAAATACTGCTTATACAGTAGGAAGGTTAAAGTTTTCCAGATATAATACGAAATAAAGCCTGCTATGCAACAGTGAAATAGACTGAAATACATTTATGTGATCCTCTGTACTCCTGACTGTAATTTGAAATGGTCTCTTCACCACAAAGCAAAAGTGAAAAGGCTCCCATTGCTATGCCTCAAAGCAGGCAGCATCAGACACGTCCACACAGTTTAGACACATAAGATCATTTTTTTTTAAAGAAAGAATTACTGTTCTTACTTGTGGCGTTGTTAGCGTAGTAGTGTTGCTCATCGTGTCTTCCATCTGTTGTGTCTGAACATCTAGTGTTTCAAACTGATGCTCAAATTTATCCATTAGTGCAGATATCTATTAAAAATATGAATCAAATCAATGACCTGCAGATAACGGAAGAGAAATACACCTGAACTGGCAAAACCAGAATCACACTACAGTGAAGGCTGCAAGCAGCCTCTGGAGAACATGAGCTCATTCCCCCTACCAGCATCAACTCTAAAGCTGATCTAACACCTCAAGCAGGTTGGTCAGGGCCCTGCCCAGCCAAGTTCTGAGCATCTCCATTTACAAGGACTTCACAACCACACTGGGCAACCTGATTCAGGATCTACCAACCTCATGCAAAACCTTTTCTCTTGACTGGAACGTCCCTTTTTGCAAAGGGTGCCCACTGCCCTTCCTGCTTTTGATGTGCACTTCCAAGAAAAGTCAGTCTATTTACCTTTTCCAAGTTCATGCTCTTCAGCGTGGCATCCATAGACTTAACCACCCCTGCCATCGACTTTGTTACCTGAAATGAGGTAAAGCAAATGATTACAAAGAAAGTAAAAGGAGCAGTTTCTTACCAAGCTCACAGATCACACGCCAGAATAAACTCTCTGGCTGAAAAGTGGTACAGTAGAGCTAAAAAAGATTTTGGCATCACATGTCCTACACCATGACTTCATGTATTTGGAAGTGGAGCAATGTCTTTGTAAAAGACTCTTAACCAGCAAAACACACTGCATCCTCAGGAGGATGAACAGTTAACAGCTAACAGAAATTACCAGCTACAAAACAGAAATCTACTTCTAAAAAGCAGCTGCCAGGGGGACTCCAGTCCTGATTTACTGCTGGCTACATCTGAAACCAAAACTGAACCTTTTCAGCTCATTATAGTCAGAATTAAGTCGTTTCTAAGATGATCAGAAGTCTCATCTTTGCAACAGATTAGTGAAAACAGACTTACCTTGCCCATTGTTACTGCGGTCTGAACTCTGGCTGCTACAGCATCGACCCTGGCACTCATGCGCAAGAAATTGATGGCTTGGTTCTTCTGGCGGATCGCATTTTCCGCATGTATTCGTGCGACTTCCATGTTACCCTTCTGAATTGCCTGTTGAAAATAAAACAGCCACCACACACAAAACCCAACCCCTGCCATGATTTCTGAATAGCCTATTTCATTTTTGAAATAAGCATCAACTCATCACAGTATCTTTTCTATTAAAGGAGAAAATAAACCCCCCTCTCTCCTCCCCCAACAGTTCTCAACCTTTTTCAAGACATGAAGCCCTAACTTCTTTCCAAGGAAGGTACCTAGCATGCACTTCAATTACGAGGTTCTACAGAAACTTAATTTTCTCATTCCTAAAAATGTTGTCAGTACCAAAACCCATCACAGATATAGTTGGTATGGTTGTATTTCAGAGACAAAGATACAGGCAAATAAATTCAGCCTCTTTCTTTACTACTTTAAGGACCCAAAGCCATTTTGAAGTTCCTCCTCATAATGTTTATCAACTTGTATTAAAAGGGCTTAAGTATTTTTAACTTTGAGAACAGCCTCTAACAAAATACATACAAGAATCTTCAATGCCATCAGCGGTACAAGGGGACACACAAGAATGTATCCTCACATTTATTAATAAGTATGGGAAGATTTGTAGTCATATATTTTAAATCACAGGCATCTATCACAACATTATTAGCATGCATACCAGGAAAATGGTAAAAACACCAGACATTTCCCTGCTGCAATATATAAACGACAGACCTAAAGAGCTTGACTCACTGCTTACCTTCTTAATTTTAGCTTTCTCAGCCTTTTCTTCTTTGTCACATTTTTTTGAGTTCCTGTTGAGTTCCTTTGCAGCAAACTTCAAATTAAAGAGGTGTTCTGCAGTGCAAGTTAAGGATTCAAGAACAGGACCGATCCTTTCATTGTTTGCTCTCCTGTCTCAACTGCCACCCAACCTAGTGTATACTGTGTTTCCCCGTTAGTGATATTAAAACTTAGAAAATGTTATTTAAGCCAGCCCTTGAAATTCACACAATAAGGAGACCTACCAAGCTGCTTCACAGTTATAATGCCATTTATCATCTGGGTTATAAAATGTAAGACCATAAAAAAAAATAGGTTCAGACCCCAAACTGGCTCTACTTAACATCAAATCTACTGAGAAATACAACAAACCAAACATCCCCCAAGAGAACTGAAACTCTGATGCTGCCAGCTACCTTTTACTCACACCCTGGACTCCCACCAAAATGGAAGTGCAGTTCACTGGCCTGCCTGGAACCTCCCTGTCTGAAAAAAATAAAGAGCCACCGAGGAGCAACAGACAAATCAACAGCGTAATAGCAAACTGCTTGGCTGACCATGCCCAAGTACTGACCAGGAGGCAGGGCTGCCCTTTTGAGCCACAGCAGGTCTCAGATTTAAATCGCTCACACGGCTCCTTTACAGTGCAGCCACCCAGCCGCAGGTCATGTGAGCGATTCTGGGGTCCCTGACAGCTCTGTCATCTGACTTTTGGGGAAAGAACACTTCAGTCAGCAAGGGAAACCTTTCTTTTGAAAAAGTTCAAGTCCTGCTTAAGCTTAAACACTAAGACAACAAGCCTCCATAGTGCCTTAGAATGACTGCATTACAGTGTTACTGACATAATGAATGCTGTAAAAATAACAATTAAAAACCATACTCTTAAAATACTGTTGGTGAAAGCTTCCAGGTAATATCAGTCTCTCTCAAACAAAATGGACATACAAAGCTTTATAGGCTTCTTTCATGCCACCTTTTGATACCCCAAGAGGAAGACGCATCAAGTACTGAGATGCTTACCAGTTAAGTGGAAACACATAAAGCTAAACACTATGAGGTACTTGAAGTTTCTTTAATATTTCAAGTATATAAATTATTCCAGAACTGCGTTTGGTTTTTTTCCCTTTGAAGTCCAGCCGTGCATCTTAGAGCTCTGACAGCAGCCTGAAGACATTAGGAAGCCCACAGATGTATTTGTTACCCTATCAGCATCACAAGCAGGCTACAAAAAAGCTAACAGCTGTGCCTATACAACCAGGATATCTGTTAAGGTAGCTACTGCTAACACTAAAACCAATGCTTGTATTTACATTTCTTTGCTTTAAAACCCAGGTCACTATCCCTTTCACCAGCAGTGAGTTTCTTGCACTGAGACAAAGATTAGGTAATTTACTGATGAGGAAAATACCTTTAGGTTGTTCATTCAAGTATACTTCAAATCAGAGACCAGGCCAACCAAGTAAAACATGACGTCATATTTACACCGATTGCACTGAAACAGCATTTCAGAGCAGTTTATTTTGAAATAACTTCCTCAGTTACTCACTTGGGGCATTTACCTTTGACATTACAATCAAAGATTAGGTAATTTACTGATGAGGAAAATACCTTTAGGTTGTTCATTCAAGTATACTTCAAATCAGAGACCAGGCCAACCAAGTAAAACATGACGTCATATTTACACCGATTGCACTGAAACAGCATTTCAGAGCAGTTTATTTTGAAATAACTTCCTCAGTTACTCACTTGGGGCATTTACCTTTGACATTACAATCGCTC